GGGGGGTGGGGGGGGCTGTAATAGGCCACCACCAACACAGCTGTGGCCGGTGTACATTTGCTCTCACCACTAATCCGTGGGGCGTTTAGTCCTCAACTTCAAACAAATGCAGTGATTTATCAACTGTAGCATGTCACGTGACAAACTCCTGCGGCTGTAACTGTTATGTTGGGTGTGTTGTCTACTCTAGTCGTGTATTACTGACCTCTGGTTTGTTGGCTTTGTTTCGTGTCTTAGTTGTTGATGTGGTTGTCTCAGATGGCCAGTCCACCACTCACCCTGCCCCCTTCAGGGCGAGTCCCAGGTAAGGTGAAAGTGACATGCGTTTTGTTTTGTTTTTAAGTTACATAATGGGGTGGGGGTGGGAGGTTGGAAGAGGTCGAGACAACCCAAACGGTGACAATCCCCGCTCTGGTGGGGGGGGGGGGAGAGAGAGAGATTGAACACATCGTGGAGCTATTTCCCTAGCCACACATTCCGGTCTGTTTGTTTTGGGGTTTTTTTGGCCGGCTTCAAAGCAAATAGAAAACTTCCTCAGCTGTAATCTCAAGGTCCCTCACCGGTCGATTGACCTTGGGATTAACTGTGAAAATGGCAGACGCGGGATTTCCGAAATCGTTTTTTATCACAGATTTGAACCTCATGAGACATCCCTGAAATTCTCTTTCCCGTGAAGTTGGAAGTTCTCGGACCTTGAAGCATGAAGACTGAATTTTTTTTTTTTTCTAGAGTTGACCACAGGTCGTCTTCTGTTTCGTAAGAAAAATGTGTCGGTGTGTGTGTGTGGGGGGGGGGTGTGGGGGGGAATGGAGGTAGTCCATATATGTATGTGTCTATAAATTGTCTGTAACTTGGGCTCAGGAATCAGTGCATTCTATAACTGACCACAACTAACTTCGAGTAAATACTTCCCAAGTCTAACTTGCGGCGGCGCCATATCACAATGGTCTACCATAAAAAGAGAAGTTTACTGTATCCCAACTGTTGTTAGCCTAGAGCCTTAGACTCTCCTACCCCACCAAGGAGCTACAAGAAACATTAAGCACATCAAAGTATATTGAACGTGATCCTAGCTAACATAGTTTATATTGAACGTGAGGCTAGCTAACATTTTTTTTTGCTCACGTTCAAAGTTCAACTATGTGACATGCATGGGCGCCCGCAGGGGGATTGGATTGATTGGATAAAAAATTTTTTGACAAAAATAGACAACAAATGTATTAAAGTAAAGAGAAAATAAATAGAAAGTAACTAAGCTGATGTCCTGTCCGTTCGTTCACCATACAAATACGCCACAGTAAATTAAAACTACATTAAAACATTACTAAAAAAATTGTTTGCCCCCCACCCTGGAAAGTTAATCNAAAAACCCCCCCCCCGGAAAATTAATCTATTTTTTGCCCCCCCCCCCCCCTAGAGAGTTTTCCCATGGTGACATGTGCTTTGTTCAAGTCGCTAGAGTAAAATGAATTAATAATTAGCACTACCTAAGACTAAGATCTAATGCGTGCAAGCAGTAAACAGGGAAAGAGTGCATGTTATCGCTGTTTCACTGTTGTGTCCTACTTCTGGCGATAAGCCACGCCGACGGTTGCACACGCCGGGTGCCAGCTGCCCTGTGGTCACAGATGTTTAAACTCGTGCACTTTCTTCCTCCACCCGGGAAAAGGTGTCGTTGGCTTCTTTAGGCCATCTGACGACTATCTTGGTGACGGACTATGCTCCCCGGCTTGGGGCAATAGCTGAACTACGATCGTTTCCCCGGCGTGACCAATCACCCCATTTACCTTATTGTCAAATCAAACACCATCTGCCTTGTGTTAAATGCAGAGCTTCTCAAGCGTGTGAGGTCCATCCAACCCTCTTGTGGAATATCGGATTGTTTGATTTGTTTATGTTCTGCCGACTGTGGCACTGTTGGATACCGTACAGCCCCTCAGTGCTTTCTGGCAAAGATGACTGCCACCTCCCAGGGCTGTGACAACTGGCAAAGATGACTGCCCCCTCTTGACAACTGGCAAAGATGACCCCCACATCCCAGGGCTGTGACAACTGGCAAAGATGACTTCCACCTCCCAGGGCTGTGACAACTGGCAAAGATGACTTCCACCTCCCAGGCCTGTGACAACCGGCAAAGATGACTGCCACCTTCGAGGTTGTGACAACTGGCAAAGATGACTGCCCCCCTGCCAGGGCCGTGACAAATAAAACCCGCGCCCGGGGTAAAGCCTGAAACTAGGCGCCCTCTTCCCCGAACAGTATATAATACTACACTTTTTGTGTGGGGTGAAAAAGATGCCCCCCCCCCTCTCCTCAATTCGATCCACAGCGGGTCCACCAGCTGACTCCGTGCGCCTACCAGGTACTTATATCTACC